GTTTGTTTCATTTAAAAATACAATATAACGATCGACTGAACTACCCACACGTTTGGTTTCTTTTTAAGAAGATTTTTGTAGGTAATTAAATACAGGGGGTGCTTAATAAAATCTAGATCATTGGTTCCCAAGTGGGGGGCGCAAAAACCTTAAAAGAGGGGCGCGGGCCATCTGTATACTTAAGTATAAAAACCTGCGACCACTGAGAGAATGCATTCTAGACTGCTCGATATGACTAATAAATAATCCTGACTAGAGGAGGGGGCGCGCGGTTTTTTTTTTGTATAGTCGAAAGGGGGCGCGTCTCAAATAAGTTTTAGAACCAATGGTCTAGATAGACGGTGAGGTCTGCATCACTCTGGATACTTGGCTGCGCGGGAGGCCTCGGTGTCGTCGTCGTTTCAGCCAAATGACGTCCACTGCTGGACAAAAGCCTCCCCGCGGTTTTCCATAATGAAGGGTCCTGCGCTGCCCGCATCTAGGTTCTTCCCGCGACCTTTACCAGATCGTCAGTCCACCTAGCGGGAGGCCTGCCCACGCCACGTCTTCCGGCCCGTGGTCGCCACTCGAGAACTTTTCTGCCCCAACGGCCAACACCTCTGCGAGCTATGCGCCTACCATGCCTCGCTTTGGGCTATGGCCTTGTGTACTACAATGAAATTGAAATTATAGGATGGAAAGAACCTGGCATAACGAGGTTGTTTATGAATTACCTTTTAACGTTGAGTATCTTGTAGTAGTCGCGCTGCTCGGACTGCTTCTGCAGCTTCTGAGCGCGCGAGATGCCGTCCTTGGCGCGCTGCAGGCCCTCTTCCAGCTCGAGGGCCTCTTTGTACGCGTGGATGGCTGCGAAATGTCAACCAACTTTTAGTATTCGATATAATTACACAAGTACAATTATAAGACGATGTTTCATTTATGTAAGGATGAAAACATGAAGCTGAAAAATATGTAAGGGTGTGCCGAATCTTCGTTGAATTTATCTAGGTGATTTCAGGTTGTCATAATGATAATCATTTCAGTCATTGGCTTTCCCTCAATGATTTCCATAATGACCGGTTGGTAGCGGCATGCATCCAGCGCCTTTCTGCCACCTTAATGAAGTTGTCGATCCACGTTTTGAGTGAACGAAATAATAGAGCAGTTATTGTAGAAGTACCTATTTCAATAAAAAAAGATCGTAACACTTGCCAGTGCAGTGGTGCTAGTTAATGCAAACGCAAATAATATATATGTTACGGTTAATGTGATAAATTGAAAATTATTAATAATAACCGGTTATTATGAATAATTACCGACAGTCGCGGTAAAAGTGATAAATTAATCACATTTAACAGTGATTGTTTAATAATTCAACTTTAGTACTAACAAATTTCATAAAAAAGAACAACATCTTGTGTACGTGCTCGTGTACAGCCAAACTTTTGAACGTTTTGATATCATATATTAATATAATTTGGCATAATGAGTTTGGAATGTTTCTTGCATAATATAACTTTTCCATGATGCCTATAACATAATGTTTTGATTTAAAGTGAAAAATAGGTTAAGGTGCGGCGGGGGGGGGCCCTGGGGCACCCCCAAGCCGCCCATTTTGTTTATACACACATAAATGACCTCATATTAATCACATTTACCAAATCATGCGGTAATTATTCATAATAACCGGCGATTATTCATAATTTTCACATTTATCACTTTGACCGTAACATATACAATAGATAAAGAATATTTGCACTCATCACCACTCACTGAAACGAGACCTGTCACCCACGTTTATCAACGGATTTTGTAGTAAACAGTATGCTACGTGATTTTTGATGTACAGAAGATAGCACGTCAAGCTGTACACTGCGGGATCTCACGTAGTTGTGAAATGTGATATTTTGCAACAAAAATGTATAATCTGATGTGCTGTCGACTGTACGTTTCCGCTACGAGGTAGTTCGTGAAGTATGGTATGGTTATGTCATGACTCACCGTCGTCGAACATGTCGAGGCCGAGCAGCGCGTCGGCGCGGTCGCACAGCACGCGCGCGTCGCGCTGCAGCGCCAGCGCCGCACCACACTCCGACAGCGCCTCCGTGTATAACTCCTCCTGGAACACCACATTGTTTAAAATTCATAAAATTCATTTATTTTTGCAAATAGGCTTTTAGAAAGCACTTTTACACGTCCCAATATTAACCCTACCACTGCTTCGGGACAATAAATGGGCCAGTGCTGAGAAGAAGCAGCGCAAGAAACTCGGTCACTATTGTCAGCCTCCTTTTCAAGGGTTTACAGTCTTTAAAATATACAAAATATTATAGTCATAAGTATTGATGCGAGCTAGGTAGTTAAACATTCCAAACGTTTTTATCTTTTATAATAATAATCATCAACTTTATAGTAGCCCTTTTTCATTAAGGTGCTTTTGATATGTGCTTTAAATTTATGAATGGGCAATTCTACAATCGTTTCAGCACGAGCCCTGGCCTGTATGCACCCTGGACTGGCTGCTGTCATATTTTTGTGCCCGTTTGAGTTTCGCCATTTTGGCGCTGTAGGCTGATACGATTGTCCGTGGTACTAAAATTAATGTTCTTTCTCGCTCACTCCTATGGTTAAATTCCATACAATGTACGTCAAAATTAGTTCTCGGGACACTCGTGGTGGCGCTTCAAATTGACACACAAAATTAGCTGTCATTTGTGTGAGACAGCCTGTCCAGTGTTAATAGAGGTCAGTGAGCACGAAGAGCGACACGCTTGACGCATAGGTACGGGCGTACCCAGTGTGGTAAGTGTCCGCGCTACCCTGTACTTTATGCACCTATAAAATAAATCTGATGTTGTGTAAATTGATACACAAATTATACTCGCATCGCACTGAGAACCGTCTTTTATTTCCGACTCCCGGTCCCCACATTACACCAGCTTTGATTTTTTACTTTTTTATCAGGCAGGCAGGTCAAGAGTTTCCTCGTTGTGAATGAAAATTTTTTTAGACATGATACATAAGAATGAAATACGAGTATAAAGTAGGTATATAAGTTCATATTGTAATTTCCAGAGAAACTGCCCTCTCTTGCTAGTGAGTACCATCATCCTCGTTAGGTAATTTAGGGTTCGGACAAACCAACGCGATCACAGCGCGATCAGCCGGCGTGCAGCGATAGCGACCAGACCTAAATGCATTGATCGCCATCGCTGCACGCCGGTTGATCGCGCTGTGATCGCGTTGGTTTGTCCGAACCTTTAGTCTCTACTAAAGGAGGACGACCTTCTCTAATTTAACAGAGACAAATGAAGAACTTGGCCTACATTTCCCATCCTGAGTTATAGAAGTCTGAATTTTGCACACAAACTATATACCGATAAACAGATAAATTAATAAAAAAATATAATATAAGCCATACATACATCAACAACTCAATAGGGTAATTAATAAGCTTATTTTATGCCTTTTATGTCGGATATAATAAATTGAAATAATCAAATATTATATCTTTAAGTGCTGATTAGATATGACTATCTAGATCTAGATTATTCGAAACAATACCCGACGAATTACTAGAGCGCAACGTTTTAGAAAACGATAGAACCAAGAAGAGAATTACTAAAGAAATAATTTAAAAACAGTTAATTATATGGAAAAAATACTTAATTAACATCATCATTAACATGTCAAGTGGCAAAAATCAGAACTAATAACCCAGCATTGATAGTAGCGCATATAAATGTCATTATGGTTGTGGAAAACAATGTCGTAGCTGGGACGGTTCAGTGTTGGACAACTATATAGGGTGGAAACGTTAATGGATCTAACTCGATTATTTCTAAACTATACAAGATATTGAAAAAAAAAAAGCTGGAAGCATTGAATTTTCGGATAGATCCAGTTTATTCTGTGACCTATTATTATGTGAGATATAGATAAAGAGCTCATGAAGCACTTTCATCAGTAACTAGTTTATTGATATCTTGTATAGTTTAGAAATAATCGAGTGAGATCACTTATCGTTTCCACCCTGTATGTATTTTGAGACATGTTGCTCGAGTTGGGCTTGGGAGGAATGTATCTATCGCTCACCTTGACGGAACAGCTGCACAGCCACTTCCTGGCCTCGAACACGACGAGCGTGACGTCATCCTCGGCCTTCAGCACCTTGTTAGCGCTGGCGATGCAGCCGGCGAAGTCGCGCGCCTCGCTGAGTTGCTCGCAGTCCAGCAGGTACTTGTCCACTTTCTTGATCTTCTTGTAGAACGGGAAGCACTTCTTGTGCTCCGGGTCTAGTTTTAGACACTCGCGGATTTCCTAAGGGATTGTGAGTTACAGGTTAGGGTAAAATAGAACGAATAAATTGGACACAAAATCTGGGTGTCAGTGAAGGCTATCGTTTTTATTGGCACCATTGGTGGCACAGTGGCGCCATCTTCTATTTCTAGTTCTTCTACCGTCTCAGCGCTTGTTGCGCAGCGCACTAGTTGGCGCCACTATCTCATTTACGCCACTAGAAAAATTACAGTGACCTTACCTTACAGTGGCGCCCATTGGTGATCGCTAAAATGATAGCCAAGCTTTGAATAACAAAGGGACAATGCGATGTGCTCTATTAGAAATAATACAAGTTTTAATATCTCAGGAATGCTGATTTGAATTCCGTCGCCACAAGACTATTGTGGTGAACTTACTTAAAATACAAACATATTTAGCTTATCACGAGAGGTTAAAGAGACTATAATATTCTTAGAAACATTAAAAAGAAATCACTCGAAAATCTCCTTTTTGTAATTCGGTTGAATAATGGAATTAAATGAAATTATATTTCAACATTTTAAGCGACATTTATGTGTGGCCTCGTACATACCTTGAGCGCGTCGCTGACGTGGCCGAGGCGGTAGAGCAGCGTGGCGAGGCGGTGGTAGCCGTCCGTGGAGTCCTGCTGCAGCCGGTTCACCGAGCGGATGTCCGACACCGCCGAGAACAGGTCGTTCTGCAAACACATACATTTAAGTATCAGTAGAATTAACACAATCTTCGACTATGGACTAGAAAAGAAAATCTTTGGAGACGGTATATTGTTGGTATTTGTATTTTCATACGCAGTAGGTACAGTGTTGCGGACCGATTGATAAAAAGCAGCACGCACAGATGTAGCGCCATCTATGATTCATTGTATGAATTAGTTTGTTCCGACACCTGGTAGTTAAATAAGAAAGGAAGATGAACCATAGATAGCGCTTTACAAAGAGTTGCTGATAAGTAAATAGAGGGCACTAAATATTGGTTTACAACATAATATTATTATGCTCATAAGTAGGTAGAAAGGGTCAAAATATTGGCTAAAACTGAATAAATATTTTTCATTTTCATATCATTATTACTCAAACTAAACATGCATTGTTTGCTGTTCCTCCGTTTCGCACGATTTCAAGATCGAAATCAATTATACCACGTACATTAAGTGCTCTCAATCGTTTCCTGGACTAAAACCCAAAATGTGACGTATTTGCAGAGGGGTAGAAGTACGTTACTAGCAGAATGTTTGGGTTACTGTGAAAATAGTCGCATCTGATTTATGTACTTTTCCTAAATTAAGTTAAATTGTTTATAAGTACTTAAATGTTATTCTGAACTTTGTTACGTCTTGTTTGAATAATGTAATTGGTACTACCGTTCTATTCATGAATAAATAAATAAATGCTGTATCATTCAGATTCGGTACATTCTGTTACTAATCAGCAATACAAAGACTGGACTCACCAGCGCAATGTAGCACTCCGCCCTAAGCTGGCGCAGCTGCGCCGACCATGGCGACAGCTCCAGCAGCCTGGTGGCGAGGTCGGCGGCGGCGCGGAAGTCCCCGCCGCGGTAGTAGGCCTCCGCCAGGCGCAGCTCCTCCGCGAACTCGTCCACGCGGTGGTAATTGTTCACCGCCTCCTCGTTGTACGGGTCCGCGTATGTCTGGAAAAGTCGACGTCACATTCTAAGCTATTTCACAATCCACCATAGCATGTAATTAGCTTAAGACTGTCATTCCGTTTTTTGTAAATCTGTCTTGCTTAATAAAGATTTTTTTTTATTATATACTAGCTGACCCGGCGAACTTTGTTCCGCCTTAATGGCAATAAATAAGCAGACTTTTTTTTTAATTGGAAAAAATGACTGACGTTTCATGTCAAGTCACACGGGAATGCTGTCGAACGGGATAAAAAGTATCCTATGTCCTTCTCCTGGCTCTAAACTACCTCTCTGACAATTTTCAGCTAAATCGGTTCAGCCGTTCTTGAGTTATAAGTGGAGTAACTAACACGACTTTCTTTTATATATATAAGATTAAGTTGGCGCCACTGTCTTCGCTACTAGCAAGTGACAGGACCTTACTCTACAGTGGCGCTAACTGGTGAGCGCTAAAACGATAGCACTCATTAGTTGGGGACCTTCTGAGCTCAATTCTTTTTAGCCATTAGGGAACAAAGTAATCACAACCTCTATTTGCAGATTTCATTGCAGACATCCTGAGCTCAATCTCTCATTAAGTAGAGAATAAATTAGATGTGGTGAGAGCAAGAGTGGTGCAACTCAGTGAGGCAATCGACCGTACTTTCAAACCTGTTGAAGTATGTTGTAACTTAATTTTGCTTAACTTTCACATAAATCCAGACACCTAATTAGTCTTAAAACTTGGCAATATAGGGTAGTAAGAAAAAATAATAATCGAACTACCATTCAAAGTACATAGTTGCAAGGCATACTCCATACCTAAAGAAAACTTTAACAGTGGTTCTCTAGCTCAAAATGCCTGAAAATAAATTAATAGCTTGAAATTAATCACTTAAGTAGATTATTGTTACTCCATTTACATTTTACTCAGTTATTTAAACATAAAGGCATTTAACGAACTATTCATATTCAGCAGTCTTTATCTTACCGTGACATCATAGCATGACAATGACTATGTTCTACATACAGGTAAACATGTCTCCATGGATGATTATTTCAATAAAAATAATATAAACATTTTTATACATAAATACAAATAAAGTATTTCAGTTTGAAATATTGATAATCAGTCAGTATGTTTCTATGCCATTATGGATCATATTCCATGTAAGCAAACGGAAGTTAAATGTTTTATGTAACATGCAACATTAATAACACTGAATTGATAAGCTAACATTGTATTGTTTGTTATCTACTAAACAATAAAAAAACAATCTTGACATAATGTTATGTAAATGCCAGCTATCAACTTTTTCAAGTGTTTTTGACTTGGAATTACAAAAAAATACTGTCACTTATTTTAATTTTGTTCAAATAAAGTTGTACGAACTAATTAAATACTACAAAGTTATTGAAATACCATTAGTCAAGTATTAATGTTATGTATCGTTATTTTATATCGGTATTTAATTTGTTATTATAAGCGCGTATCCAAACGTAGCTAGTTTAAAAGCATTATTCAGGATGTGTATCCGAGATTCTTTCTTCTTGATACGCCAGACAAAATGGCGATAGGCAATCTTGTAAGCTCTGTGTTTAATCGAAAATAAAAGACAGTATCTTCAAATAGAAACAACTTTTATTTACGTCTCCAAGGCGGAGACATCACAAATATGGCGACGAGCAAAACATTTATCGGCGGCCAAGGCGGCATAGGCCACAACTTGAAACCCTACGAGGAGGGTGAGGACATAGCATGTTTCTTGGAACGCATGGAGCAATATTTCGAAGCAAATGCTATCCCTGAAGAAAGAAAAGTGGCATCTTTACTTGTAAGTTTGCATGAAGAAGTCTACAAAACATTGAAGAACGTTCTGCACCCAGATTTACCATCTACCAAAACCTACAAGCAAATCGAAGATGCACTCAAACTTCGCTTTAAACCTCGCATCTCTCACTACAGAAAGGTGATTGAGTTCGATAGGCTTCGACAAGATGACGGCGAGAGTGTGGCGAAATTCTATTCTCGAATTCGTGAGGCATCGACAGATTGCAATTTTCCAGCCAGCAGCATGGAAGCCATTGTCAAATATAAACTGGTGACAGGTCTGAGGCCAGGGCCTGTGCAGGATAGACTTTGTGAGGAGGATTCACAAAAGTCCCTGAAGGAGTTACTCGAAGTGGCGCTAAACAAGGAGTCAGCAATCGCGAGCAACCACAGAGCAGTCAACAAGGTATACAAGAACATAAGCGGCAAGGAGGAAAGTAATTGTATGTACAAGGAAGGGAACTTAAGTAGAAGAGAGGAATCGTTTGAGGAAGGGGAATATGTTTATTGTAGAGATTACAGAAACCCTAATAAGAAAGTTTTTACTAAATGTGTTATCGATGAGGTATTAGGAAAGAGAACATACTTGTGTAAAGTTTTAAATGAAGGTTTAATTTGGAAAAGACACTTAAATCAGATTATTCGTTCTGTACCTTCAGAAAGTAAAGATATTAATGATTCCATAGATTCTCAAACTTTACCTTTAATTAAATGTAATGATAACTTTAATAGTGAAAAAGAGTCTAGTATTATTTCAGAAAATGTTTCAATTCCTGTAAACGAGAAAACAATTCAGGCATCTCCAATTGTTTCCTCGGGTAGAACTGTAGAAGATTTAAAGTTAAATAGTGATAATATTCATTCCCCAACAAATGTAACTAAGGATAAAAATGTACCAGGCAATTCTCCAGTTCCTGTAGTCCGTTCACAGAGAGTCCGGAGACCTCCTGTTAAGTTAGATTTATAAGTACTGATTGGAATTGTAAGAGGGGAGTATATGTTATGTATCGTTATTTTATATCGGTATTTAATTTGTTATTATAAGCGCGTATCCAAACGTAGCTAGTTTAAAAGCATTATTCAGGATGTGTATCCGAGATTCTTTCTTCTTGATACGCCAGACAAAATGGCGATAGGCAATCTTGTAAGCTCTGTGTTTAATCGAAAATAAAAGACAGTATCTTCAAATAGAAACAACTTTTATTTACGTCTCCAAGGCGGAGACATCACAATTAACATGCACAGAGCGAAGTAAATGCAATTGCAACACACAGCAATAACATAAACATAGATTAGTCACACACTTTATTCAATGTATGGCATGATTGCCGTTTGATGTATTCAACAAATGTTGCAATGGTGCATGAAATTATTACAAAGAAATTTCTGTGGAACATATTGAATTCTGATAAGGATGCTCGACATTGTAATATCTTTAACACTGTAATGTTACTTATTCTCTGACAGTATGTTTGAATTCTTTGGCATGCCTAAATCAATTATTTACAAATAATTAACTGTCAATATGTTGGAACTTTCTTCACTCTGTTGTTAGTTCCAAGATATGCACAATCAAAAATAGTTTGAGATAAACAATGGAATACTTACAACATGTAGAAAGTCTTCCTTGGCTTCCCTGTACTGTGCTAGCTTGAGGTAGACGTTGGCGCGCTGATGCCGCGCCGACGTGAAGTCTGGCTTCAGCTCCAACACCTGACATTACAAAATCATTTTAGTTACACTAAGGTGTGACTTATTGGAGCAATCCCAACTAATATTATAAATGCGAAAGTAACTCTGTCTGTCTGTCTGTCTGTCTGTCTGTTACGCTTTCCCGCTTAAACCTCGCAACCGATTTTGATGAAATTTGGCATAGAGATAGTTTGAGTCCCGGGAAAGAACATAGGATAGTTTTTATCCCGGTTTTTGAAACAGGGACGCGCGCGATAAAGTTTTTCTGTGACAGACAAAATTCCACGCGGGCGAAGCCGCGGGCGGAAAGCTAGTAACTAAATAATTATTAATCTATCCACAAAATATTTTCCAAAATTATGTGGGTAAATAGATAATCAGCAAAATGACACTTTAAATTGATAAAAGAAATACCTGCCTTTAAATTTTAAGATAGTAAAAAATAAATAACATAATTTATGAGTAGGTATTGATGAAAAACAACAAAGTTTAATTATTGAAGATGATTAGTTTTTTTTAATATAGCTTACCTTTGTAAAGTCTTGCAAGGCAAATTTAGCTTTGCCCAGTGCGTAGTACACGGTACCACGCTTGAAGTATGTGAGGTAGTTGTGGGGGTCGCCCTCTGGAGGACAAACATATTGCATCAGATAAACTCACTATATTTGGGTTGGTAGGTAGTTATGTACTTTAATAACACTTTATCAGTATAACTTACTTATCTCTGAGTAGGTACACAGTAATACAATGAAAAACTTTTATTGGCACTTGGTGATAGTTATGATAATAATAGGTTTGGTGGTAATGAATTAATTGAGAAGTAAACTTTTTAAGTACACTAATTTGTTTAATTTATTATGATTTAATAAAAAAAATTAAATGTAGATGACAAAGAGTTAATAATTTATGATTTGTACTTTTACAAAACTATGTTCGTTGTGTTTATAAGACCTTCGAAACTTTAAAAATTGCACAATAAGAATAGTAAACAATGTATCCTACACTCTCGACCTAAAATTCTGTTTAACCTGTAAACTAGTGACCAGAACCGACTCGACCTTGACACTGGTCCAGGTTAGTTCATGCTCTATTTGTAGCAGGGTGAAGGTTGCCGAACTTACCGACGGCTGCGTGATAGTGCGTGAGCGCGTCAGAGAGCTGTCCCCGCGCCAGGAAGTCTCGCCCGAGTTCCAGGTGTTTGTTCACCTCCGCCGGCGTCGCGCACTCTGAAACTGTACCACACCAGGTCACAACATTACCATCCACACAGAAAACACCAAGAAAACCACAATAAATTAGGTTAAACCCGTCAAAAGGTACCCACATTCTAACACTATTTCTAGTACTAATAAAACAAGGCATGGTGTGATTTTGTTCCAGTTGATATTCACTAAGTAGTCCATTATTTTATTACAATTATTTTACAACAGTCCTTAGCACAAATTGGCAGCAATTGTATTTCAATACAAACTAATTATTTGACAGTGCGACAACCCATTTTTCCTTCGTCTCTTTTCGTGGTTTTCTCTGATTGGTCCAAATCAGACAACATTACTTTTTTAAGTTTTACATCTGACCAAAATATCAAAAAAATAATAAATTAAACTAATTTCAAGAATTACTTACAAAATTAAAGTTTATTGACTGTATTGATAATTTAAAAAGAATAAAATAAATCTGACTACCCTCCTTATCATTTACATTTTTTTACCATGAGCTCATAAATTCGATATTTCTGAACGAATCGAATAATGAATGACATTGACAGTTGGAACAAATGTTACCATTTTTGTTACAGACATTTGTAGTAGTAGATTTAAATAAACTGCGCAAGTACCAATTCTGAGCCCCGATTGCGCTAATTTTTAATGTCTCCAATTCATATTTGGCGCTTCTTCACCAGTTGCGCTCCGTTTTTCATTCCAGCTGAGGTAAATTTCAGTATCGCGGAATAGTTCACAATTCACGCGCAAACAAAGAGACCCGCGACACCGCAATACGAATTTGTGATATTCGTTCGTCGTCTAGTCAAATTGTAGTTTAAAATTTGCGAGGGCCCCGATTGCGCTTAAAATATTCAACTGCTATGCAACTGGATGACGAACGAACATCAGCTGTATTGACAAATCCGTATCGCGGTGTCGTTTTGACAGCTAGATGAAACGAACTTGTGACGTAAACGGAGCACAACTGCGCCTTTGAGTACTAAAGGCTTACAGAATGCTACTTTTTCTCACACGCAAGTCAAACGTATCACGAATAATTAGCTGTGTTTTAATAATTTTAGTTTAAAAAGATAAGAAGATAATATAGAGTTTGGAAGTGGATGAATCCGTTGTTTCGTCTTTGTTTGCGCTTGAACTTTACCGCGATACCCAACAGCACATCAGCTAAATGAAAATGGAGCGTGACTGGAGTGTAGACTGGAGATGACACGCAAGTGAATTGAAGACATTAAAAATTAGCGTAATCGGGGTCCAGAGCCCCGATTACGGTAATTTTTAACGTCTCCAATCCAGACACGCTTCTCGATTCTGCGATACGATTGGTCGTTCAACAGCGTACGTCAGCTGTTTTGACCAATCGTATCGTAGAATCAGAAGCGCGTCTGGATTGGAAACGTTAAAAGTTACCGCAATCGGGGCTCAAAAAGTATAACAACTTGATTATAATGCTTTTTAATTTGAATGAGACAGCCTGTCCAGTATGTATAAATAGAGGTCAGTGTGCGATTTATGATGAAGTATTGTTTTTTGGTAGCACGGTAGTTTTTTGTTGTTGGTAGAAATTTTAAAACAGTTGCTGGCAACATTAAAATCCGTTCTTTCATTTTCTCGTAGGAAATAAAATCCGGTTAGTTCAATGATATTTTTGTAAATTCTTGATAAAAATCAATAAATAGGTACTAAATTGTGTTGTGTAAACTCTCCTAAATCTACCTGTGCAAACTGAAAATCTGGATTGACGATTGCCATCGGGATATTTTGAGATTACTTCATTGGTTGGATGTCAACATAACCTCTCGGTGTTGCAGTTGGTAACTTTTGTCTGGTGTTTTAGGGATGGCAGACGCGCCAGCAACTAGTGCGCCTAAGGCCAAGGCGCCCAAAACTAAGGCCCCTAAAGAAAAGGCCGTAAAGGCTGCCCCAGCGGCACCCGCAGAGCCCCCGAAGGCTGTGCGCAAAGTTTCATCCAAACCTCGCCACGGCAGGCTCTACGCCAAGGCCGTGTTCACAGGCTACAAGCGCGGTCTGCGCAACCAGCACGAAAACACAGCTCTTCTCAAGGTACTGCATCATAACCTCCAATAATGGGACAAACATTGTCGTCCTCTGGCTTCAGCATGACACCTAACCTGAAAAGTGAGCAAGTAAATAGAAGTTTATATTCTGAAGTGATTCTCTATCCAAAACAGATACTATTATTTTAGATGGTACATTACCTTTGTTGTGAACTGTTTGTTAAACATTTTAGTTGTTACCAAGTGAAGAGTATAAATTAAACAAGTTATTACTAATTATAAAGAGCACATAAACAGTTTTAATTGAAACTGCACTTGATTGTTATAGTGTCAAAACAAAACAATAGTGATCTGCAAATTTAAAAGTATTTATAAAATCAATTAGGGTTTGGTAATGCTAGAAGTAAGCAGATGGCCTATGTCAAATACAATTCCTAAACTGTTATTGAATTCAATTGATTCATCATACATTCACAGTATCATCACTAAACTGTTATAAACCTTGGTAATTCATTAGAATTTCTAAATGATGCTTAGACATTTGAAACCTGAACTCAGTGTTGACAAACTGTTACTGATCTTCCAGTAATATTAGATTTAACAAGATCACCCGAGTCTCTTATTAATTCTACCTAATCCGTTAACTTCCAGGTTGAGGGAGCCCGCGACCGTGACGATGCCAACTTCTACGCCGGCAAGCGTTGTGTGTACGTGTACCGTGCCAAGAAGAGGACACCCATCGCTGGTGGCCCCCGCGGCAAGAAGACCAAGCTGCGCGCCATCTGGGGCAAGGTGACCCGTCCCCATGGCAACTCCGGCAGTGTGCGTGCCCGCTTCAAGTCCAACCTGCCCGCTCACGCTATGGGACATAGGATACGAGTGGTCAGTATTGTTTGTTTGTGCTTGGATTTTCTTTTTTGATGAAATCACAATGACACTTCTGGAAAAAAGCTATAAAGCTGTTTTATAAATTCCAAATTGTGATAGCTCATTGCCATCACTCATGACAGATAGTGTACACCAGTTCATAAAAATAACATGTATCCAGCTTTTCTTTAACAATAACATTTGGTTTAGACATGTGTGATTCATTGATTTTAACCCTACAAGGCACCCAGTTCCATTTGTGGAACACCGACTTTAATCGTTCCTATAGCTATAAAACTATTAGTAGCGACATCTTTTGCATCTTATTAGAAGCTAATGACATTTAGCAATGTAGTAATACGAAGTTTTACCTAAAGATGTCGTTCGTGTTTTGGTTGTAGTGCACTAAGTGTGAAATTTGAATGAAAGTGACAAGTTAGTCGTTTGACTGAATTCAAAAATAAATAAAAAATAGTTATTGAACAGTTTTGATTAGAAAAAAAATACTCTGTGTTATAAAGAAGTGTATATTTTGCAGAGGTAAGTTGTATTTTTTATTACAATAGTAAACGTATTAGTAAATCACATTTTTATTGTAGTTCCACATACGGTACGTTGAGCTTTAGTGTCCGTTTTTACTTACGTACTTACGAAAACTTACCATATGAATATTTTGATTTTATTGCAGATAATGTCGCGAAGAAGATTGCGTAATTGAGAAATTGAGGGTTTCTTAAATATTCATTCTGGGAGTGATGTGGAAGTGATGATGACATCGAAAAAAATCAGTCCATCCAAAACTTTTTACACTCTGGACTACACTACTGGACAAAGACCTCCCCCAAGAATTTCCACGAAGACCGGTCCTGTGCCGCTCGCATCCAGGTACCTCCCGCGACCTTCACCAGATCGTCGGTCCACCTAGTGGGAGGCTACCCACGCTTCGTCTACCGGCTCATGGTCGCCACTCAAGAACTTTCCTGCCCCAGTGGCCATCAGCTCTACGAGCTATGTGCCCCGCCCACTGCCACTTGAATTTAGCGATTCTGCGGGCTATGTCAGTCACTCTGGTTCTCCTACGGATCTCCTCATTTCTGATTCGATCACGCAGGGAAACTCCGAGTATAGCACGGTCCATCGCCCTTTGGGTGACATGGAGCCAAGTACATCAATACTACCTCCTCGTGATGTCAGACGTGATTGGTTTGAGCATTTCCTATTTGGGGTGAAAAAAGACAACGATGCAAATATCCCGGTTGCAAAGTAAAACGCTCTTATCTCAAATGTCACGTAGAACTTTTCCTAAATAAATATTATAACTAATTATTGTTTTAGATCTTTTCATCAATAAAAAATAACAAATTTATGATATTATTCATATGATTATGTTTATTATAAATTGTAATATATAAAAAAGTTAAATAGATAATAGTTATTTCATTTTATTAAGAATAATAATTTTAATTATTAATACCAAAAGTTATAGTTAAGGCTCAGGGTACCGTATGTGGAACTAAAATAAAAAGTTGATTTTTCAGTACAATATGATTTTATTTTTATTTTTATAAGTTTTTCCTATCTTCTCATCACTAATTACAACCAATATATTTTTGTCGCGCACTAAAAAAAAATTGAGCCTTGTAGGGTTAAAATGATGCTTAGACATTTGAAACCTGAATTTAATGTGGACAACATTATACTGATTAATCCTGACTTGTCAATTGGGATTTTATGTTTATTTTTCCATACTAATCCTGTTATTTTGTTTGTTGCAGATGCTGTATCCTTCCAGGATCTAAGAACCTGTTATTTTTAAGCATAAAATAATAAAAATCTCCAAAAAAATCTTTTGAACTTTCTATTCAAATCCTTGCCTGAGTTATGAATGATATTAGGTAGTCAAAACTAGTAAACAAAAAGCTAAATAAGTGTGGAACCTAAGGGGGATGGATGATAGGATTGGGTTAAGAAAGAAGTTAACTTTTGTTGCCACCAGCACAAAAGATTAGACAAAGCTAAATTACCGCATTGTTTCTTTTTGTACTGATGGTGGTAGGGCAAGCTACTTGAAGCTACATTTGGGACGTGTTTAAGTGCCTTAGAGGGCTTACTAATAGATACTTACTTTGATTTTGTATAGAGGTACACCTAAACCTTTATGGAAATGGATTTGGTCAATCACAAACAGAAGTTACATAAAAGTTCATATGAAGAATACTCGATTAATCTGAGCTACCTAATTGGTAGAATAAAGTTTCATGGAATTATGTTTAGGCTGGCAAGAAATAGGCAATTATCTACATATTTTGTACTGTATATTTGAAAAATTTTGCTTGGGTTATGATATAGGGAGGTAACAAAAAATTAATTTTCTCTTGATTTTAAAACGCCTGAATTTTTTTCTTTCGACTATAACACGAGACGCTAATTGCTATAAACTGTTTCACAGGCGTTTCACACGTTTTTGAATAACTACAAACTTCCATAATGTTGTAAATGTCTAAAGTGGA